TCTTCTCCAGCACCACAGTTCAAAGGCATCAATTCTTCGGCGCTCGGCCTTTTTTATGGTCCAGCTCTCACAGCCAAACGACTACATGGTGGCTAAAACTATACTGAGAGGCTGGGCATATAGTCCTCCCATTATATTGCCACTCCTTGAATAACTAACATACCACGCCAATAGGTAGCAGTAAATAGCAGTATACGTGCTAACACACAAGTCACACGATTTCTCTAGACACAACATTGCTGTGAAGATAACGAGCTGAATTTCTTCCCATGAGAAAATCCTAACAGATGGGACCTGGAGATTGCCCATCCTGTTGGATCTGGTGGGACGGCAGAGCCAGTTGGACACAGGTGGTCCCAGGTGTAGCCTAGCCCTGTGCTGTGCAGGGATTTAAAGTTGATAACTAGCAACTTGAACTACATTGCAAGCATGCTGGGAGCTCATGTAACAAGTGTCGCACAGGTGAACCTTGGTGCACCCCATTAAGAATTAAAGGTGAAAAATCATCAGATCCAGGAGGCCCCAAAACCCAGAGCCGCTCATTCTTGGTAAGATTCAGTTGCAGTCTGTTCTTTCCTATTGACACCCTCACCTCCTCCAGGTACTGGGTAAGAACCTCATTGATGTTTCTTGTACGGCCAGTGGTGGAAATGTATAGCTGAGTATCACCACATTCTGAGGATGTTTCATCTTGTGCCAGCAAATGATCTTGCCCAGCAGTTATAGGTAATAATTATTTTGGCCAGTGATCAAATAAACATATATAAACTAAATGCAGCAAAGGGAGAGGAGAAAACAAACAAGCCATTCACATACCATAAGATAAGTGAACCAGGTATAAGGATGTCAGTTGTATTCAATAGTCTTTTGTTTTAATCACAGCATCACAGCAGCTATACAGAATTTTGCTATATTATGGGTGATAGCACTTTTCTTCTCCGATAAGAGGAAGTTGATATAAAGTTCCTCAGGATAATTTGGTGCAATGTAGCAAGAGAGGGAAGATGAGTCTGCTTCGGATATCATTGTAAAAGGGTTAGGCTTAGGCTTAGGGTAAGGGTGCAGCAGCATGTGGAGAGTAGATTCATCTGAACCACCATCACCACAGGGGCAGGTTCGGTTAATCATGGGGTTTTCACTGAGCTCCCATATAAAAATGTTGAGGGTAGACTATTATATCTGGTTCTGAAGAAGAGCCTTTGTTGGACTGTAGAGATGAGTGAGTTGACGTAGTTGGCTAGTTTCCACCTAACATGGTTAAACTGAGTTTGGAAGAATTTGGGATGAGTCCTCTTTAATTCTGGGCTTCAATGTCTAAAAGCATTTCTTTAATAAATCTCCTAGCCTGAATGAAATTAAGAATATAGGAAGTCAAGGAAGAGGCTGTAAGGTTTACCCCATTCGTCTCAGAGAAACTCTCGTGACACGTGTGTTCAGCAAAGAAG